AAACCCTATTCTATTACAGTAGTTTCCATTTTCTTTTCCATTATCCCTATATAACCCTTGTATATACCATATAACCCATTATAGTAGTTTCCATTTTCTTCTCCATTATCCCAATATAACCTTTGATCAGCTTTAGTGTTGCTCCTAGAAGACCGAGTCCAGTCTTTCATACCCTCATCTGACTGGATCTGGCGATCCTGTTCGATACTTCGGAAACTGGTTTCGTGACAAAATGCACGGTTACAATTAATTACAAAGAGCCCCATTACACAGAAAGGTACCATACTTTATCTATGTCACGCCTAACATTCGGTTTGTTTGCTCATTCTGACGCTTCTGCACACAGAGAGGACGACGCCGTTTTGGCACCGATATCTCCGAAGCGTTTGAGTATCAATGTCCGTCGAAGCAGCCGTAATCATTTCAGCAGGATGCTTCATTTAAGTTATCCCAAGACAGTTTTTCACCCTTCCACATGACAATCTCAAACATCAAGCAACGAGTGGCAAACATGTTCGATGAAATTGCAGGACCCAAGGGAAGGCAACATAGAATGCCCATACTATGCCACAAGGCGGGCAGCACCCTTCCACACCCGCACATATCAGGATGCCTCTAAATGTCTTGACTATCCAGTCTTGTTCAATCATGTTGTGCAACATGTCCGAATGTGAAAAACACCAACTTACGGGTTCGCCAAAATTTCAAATTCTGATATCTGCCCCTAAGACTATTTTTGAAACGGCCAAGACTAAAGTTAATTGCGGCTCGCATCCTTTGAATTAGGGGGGTTTTTGCAGGGGTCTTAAGGATTAGGGATCTCCTTGATCTGCTAGATTTTGATTTTTTTGAATGGTGTTTATGAAGAAATTTCATAAGAATAATTCCAGAAACAGATTGCCAGGCCCTAATGTGAAACAGCCCCTAATAAGGCCCTAATTTGATATCATTCCTGATGAGGCACTAATTCTCAATAGTCTCTAAAGAGGCCCTAATTTGAAATAGTCCCTAATAAGGCCCCAAATTGTAATAGCCCCTAATAAGCCTTAATTTGAAATAGTCCCCAATAAGGCCCTACTTTGAAAAAATACCTGATAAGGTCCCTTCTTAGAATTAATCGAATTTTGTACGATTTTAATAAGAGTTCGATTGCCCCCCGAATGTCCGGGTCGTACGATAAATACCCCCGCCTAATATTGAATACGGGCGGGAGTATTTACCTTGGGGTGGGAAGCCCTTTGATATTAGGGGGAAGGATTATATAGGGATGTAGGTATATTGCACCGATGATGGAGAATCAAATAGAAATATGTAAAGGAAAACCTGGGTCTCTTCAAAGGATATAGGGATAGTACCCACATAATGAAGAGTCAAACGGACGTCAAATGTACACTCCGATATTGGGACTGCAAATTTGGCAAGGCAAATACAAAACGGCCATATAAGGAATACGGCCCCAATAGCGGAATGGACAAGAACATCGAAAATTAAATGGACAAGAACATCAAACATGTAAGTCCAACTGGGCATAGACCATACCCTAAGCGAAGCTGCAAGCGAAGAGAAATACCATCTGCCAAACACTAACTCTGTAAGCCTAAGACTTAAATCGACCTTAAACTTAAGCCGACCTTAAACCCTATAAGCCCAATGAGCCCTATAAACCCTATAAGACCTACAAACCCTACAAGCCCTGTAAAGCCTGTGAGCCCTATAAACCCTAAAGCCCTAGCCTTTGTTCAAATTCCCTTGCCTCTGCTGATAGGCTGCGGCAGCAGGAAACTGTCGTTTAGTGTTTAGGATTTATGGGGCACCCTAAACCCTAAACCCTAAACTCCCTAAACCCTATGTTTACAGGGTTTAGGGTTGTGTTTTGGGAATGATTTCCACGAATGAAATGGCACGTACCAAGGACAAGGCTACCTGAAATAAGTTTGAAGCCTAAACCTGACCCTGTGGCTCCATGTGTATAAATCATGCCTACATCGGGCCCCAATGTCTATAAATAGTACCTGCATTGGGCTATTTGGAGCCCTTGGGTGAAGCCCAAGAAACACCACACCCAAACGCCAATCGTACACCAGCTTCAATTTCATCCATCTTCTGTTCATCTGACGCTCTGTTACTAGGAATTTTCCTCCAACAATAACCCATCACCGGCCCCAAGTCCCTGCCTCAAAGAAATATGACGACTGATCAGCACACGTCATGCGGCCGCAATGTTCCCACCTGTCAGATGACAGGGTGTAGCGTGCAATGTAAGGAGCGAAATAAATACAGCAGGGCTTTGGGTGCATATTACGTAAATTGCGCTAGACGCGTAAAGACGCGTAAGGAAAATGCGTTGGTAATTGTTCCAGCTTCTGCCGTAGCCCACAACCATCAAATCCCTCAAGCAAAAAAGAGGCACTGCCCCCGACCTATGACAGCCTATGATCAATTCATTCATGTGCTCTGCAGTGGACAACTTGGTCCTCGGCTCAATCACTGAAGGGATGCTCTTCAGGGAATCTTGGGGACTCAGGGCTTCAAGCTTCCAAAGCCTCAAAGAACACATTAGAGCCATTGTGTACGATTTAGGGTTTAGGGTTTAGCGGTTTACGGTTTAAAGATAATGTAGGCCCTGGGCGGACGAGGATTTGACCCAGGCCTGAAGGCATTTGGATCTGCGGTGGTCCTATGTCTGCCTGGACCCACTTCATGCAGCCTGCTACTGGCGTGCTGAAAGTTTAGAAGTCGGGGAGCCACCAGCATTTGCTGACCTCCTCAGATTGATGTTGGTGGCTCGATGCTTTCCTAATTCATACCCAGGCCTCAAACCAAGTTCACCATGGAGCACATTAGAAATCCGCAGACCCCTGTTGGAAGATCGGAGAAATTCGCAGCCGTTGGCAATTCTAGCTCTCACACTCATGACGGGAGGCTGACGGAGATTAAGGAACTTTCTCATCGAGTCTTATTCTGGGCATTCACACAAAGAGGGTTCCCATGATCTATCTACCCCAACATGGCGAGGGGCCCAGATAAGACCCCAAATCTTGAAAACCTCCCTCCGGCGTACTGACTAGGCCAGGCATGGAGACACGTTTATTCAACAACCACTTAGTTGCCCTTGAAAATTGAGATGTATGGAATCGCTGCGAAGCCTGTGCTTGAAGCCTGAAGAACTATCGATACTTTCCATCGGTTTGCTGCCTGAATTATCAAAAGCCCCTACATGGCAAAGCAGTGTCTTCATGCATACGGGCCCCCATGCATACCCCAATACACGAAAATTCTTATGATATTCACTCGCAAACAGGGACCCCCCCCAACTCCTACAAACCTCGGTTGGAATCATGTAGGCGCCCTGTCTTGCAGACATCCTAGTGCAACGCTTTGAATCCTGAAAAATGACACGAAAAATCCCATTCCCAAACCCTTCATAAGCTCTAAAGCTTAAACTCTGAATATCAAACTGCAAACCCTGAATCCTCAACCCCCAATCCAAATTCTACACTCTGAGCCCGATATCTGGAAGCTCAAGCTCCAACTTTCCCTGGCCTCACCCATAAGGCTGCCTCACCTGATTGAATTGGGGGCAGTAGCCCCCTTTTTTAGCTAGAATTTTGATGTCAACTATTCCAGAAGTCTATGGGGCGGGGTGAGGGTTGGGTAATATTGGGAATATAATAGGGTAATATTGGTTATAGGGGTTATATAGGGGGCTATATAGAGGTTGGATAGGGGTTATTTTCCTTTCAAGGAATTTACATGTTGCACTTTCACCGCTTGATGCCTCTGCATTCAGCCATGGCGAGTGCTTGCCTATACAATGCTCTACCACCAAACGCGATCTTCCGCTCAAGCTGGTGTGAATTCTAGGATTCGGAATATGCAGGTGGCGCAGCTTGCCTGCAAAAACAAGCCTTGCAGCTCGTAGAGCAGTTTTGGGTTGCGCGGTTGCGCAGAATGCCCCTCTGCTGCCACATGTGCAGAATGACAAAAAAGGTACTCGTTCTTGCGCTGGGAAATGCTGAGCCAAGCTTCATGAACCCACAAGGCTTTGAAAGCAAAGTTGCTGGCGCGTTGATCCGGGAGGACGTCCTCAGCAATGGGCGTGGCCTGGACAAGATTGGGAGGTCTGCTGATTCCACTTCCTCCGAGTCAGTAAGGAGCATGCAGCGCCGACGACGACGACGCTGACGCCGATACGGAGGACGACGACGACGAGGGTGACGACGGTACCGCCCGACTAGCACATCTGGCAAGAAAATCTACAACTAATACCAGTGCTGCAACTGAACAGCCACTGTTCAGGGGCGCAAGCAGCAGGAAACCGTTCCGAAGTAACATGATGGATATGCTGATGAGCATGGATCGGTATAGAGCTGATGACGGCGACAATGATATGGCGCTCATGGAGAGGGAGATTGTGGCCATGGTGGTGATGTCTACGATCATGATGATGACTACGATGATGCTGTTGATAAGATGACAATGATCTTACGAGTGCTGCAGGTTAGTCCGTGAAGTTTAAACCCCTCCACTCAAGCCTGAAAACCACTCACGCTTCATCTGCCACAGTATACAGGTACCATGCAATAGAACATCTGCACTGCGCCTCCCAAGAGTACTGCAATCGGCCTCCTAGGAGGAAGTACCTGGACACTGAGTTGGTAGTTTGGACCCTGTTTACAGGAAAATTGCCTACAGCCACACAACCACTGCGTACCATAGGGCTTTATCAGGAATTGGACACTTAGCTGGGAAAGTGATGACCGCCTTTGGACACGCTTTGCCATCTTCATTTACAACGCAACGGGAATGAAACCGGTTGCTGTTAGTCAGGGTGCATACCCGTGCTGGCCGCGCCGGCTTGAAAGACCTGCAAGTGTACAACAACAAGCTAGAAAGGCAAAAGTTCATGGATTTAGGGTCTAGGGTTGACGGCTTCGGGCCCATAATCCTTGGTTGCCAACTGCTACACACCATAGCTTGTGGAGGCTCATGATGCAGGATCATAGGCCACAGACATGATGATGCCCACCTGCCTCCTCTCCATACACCGCGCTTTGCTCAGTAAGAGCCGTGTGGCACGTCCGCGCCACATCAGCCAGGCTGAGGTAGGTCAGGTACTTGAACATCCCATGCTTCTCCAGCACGGGAAATCCTACCTGACTTATCAGAAGCATACACAAAAATGCTGCTTACACACCTGCTGAATTTCAGGGACCCTCCAAAAACGGCCCTATGCTCATGAGCAATCCTGCTATCATCTTTCCAATATGACTTCACAACCGGCCCTCTATTGCCCTGCACAAGCCCCTAAAAAAGAGAGAGAAAGCGAGAGAGAGAGAGAGAGAGAGTGAGTGAGTGAGTGAGTGACTGATTAAATGAGAGCGCGACACCCATTTCCAGCACAGTAAAACAGGCCTCCTCCTGCAAACGTCGAAGCAGCTGCTGAGGCAGGCTCTGCAAAACCTTGATGTCGGAGAGGACCACCTCTAGGGCTTCTGAAGTCAAATGTCCGCTCCATGCAGGGGAATATTGCGTATGTTGCGGTATACGACATACACACCCACACACGCACATAAATGGATAGATATAGATATATATATATATGTATACACATATGTGTATGGGCTTGCAATTTTCAGACACTCCACCTTGCCCATAGCCTTCCCCAGCCCTCGCTGGCGAATACAGGCTAGAATCTCACTGGAGAGGTCCGCAGAGACGTACTTATCTCCCACATAACGCCGTACGAGCTGGGTTTGCCGCGTCTCCTGGGCAGTGAGGCTGCGCAGCTTTGCAAACGACTGGTTGATGGTGCCCAGGAAGAAACTGAAAGCGATTAGCCCTGCCAAGCAGATCACCACGGAGAACACCCTCTCGAGGGTGTTTGATGCCACCACATCCATAGCAGCTGGTGTAAATTGAGTTAAGGCCCAATGCACAGATGTAACCTTGGCGTGCTTGTCAATGTCAAAGATGCTGTTGTCACTAGTTCATTGACACAAGAGCTACTGAACGTCACTCCGGCAGATGAACACAGAAGCCCAGAAAAGTGCTATTAACAGCCGAAGGGCATATAGGTAGAAGAGGCTAGGGTCGGCAGTCAGAGACTCGGCGCGTGTGAGCGTGTGCTCTTTGACCCATGTCACCTCCGTCGAGGTCATGCCTCCCAGAGCATACCTGAATCAATTCTTCTAATGTTGACACCATGAGCCCTTAACTCCGGGATCCCTGTAGTCCTACTATATAATCTTAAAGGTCCCTAGAATCCGCCTCAAAGGCCTACAGGCCCACATTAGGGGCCCATACTTCTAACCTTAGATTTCTGAGAGGACCGAATAAAACCCTAGCTCCTGCTGGCTCAAGTTGCGAAGATATGCACTGTATGTTTACACGGGGCCTCCTTTTCCCAGGTGATGTGTGGGGATCCTTTTTGTGGCAAATATAGATTGGCTTAGGATATGTTGGGGAGAGTCCAGAGACCCCCAACCAGATTCAGGCTTACGCAATTAGTCTCAGAACCTGATAGGAGGTCAATTTGGGACTGTTCTGTTCTTCAAGGTGAACCACCACCAGATGAGGGCATTCCGGTATGCTCAGGTGGTTCAGTCCACCTGGAACTCCAAACAGCAAATGTTCAAAACCTGCACCCCAAAAGTATGTGAAATAATTGCCTTCATGGCTAGTATTAGGGGTTTAGGGCTATCATTTTACATACTTTTGGGGTTTGGGAAGCACCCAAGTCACCATGCGCAGCCGGTAAAGTGGCAGAGCAGGGCTATGACGCCAAGATGTTGGAGAACACCTCTGGCTTGGCTCCATGCTTTATTGTTGCACATTGAGGTACATTGAACATGCAGTTTGACAATTCTTTATGGGTGGTTGTTGGGAAGCAACCAGAATGCATGTTCAACTTTGAGCCCAGCTTTGGGTGCAGGGATTTGGGGTTTCGGGCTTAGGGATGTAGAGCTTGGGGTTGTGGATTTTTAGTATTGACTGCACATGTTGGAGATTAGGGATATAGTTTGGGGCTCGACTTTGACTGATCCTGGTGTTGAAAGGGTTTGGGGGATTACAGTCAGAGGGATACTGTGAGGTTGCTATATGGTTCTTCTGCTAGAACTGAGCTTCAGGGTGTCAGAAAGAGGCAGGTGGAGTAGAATCCAAGTTGATGTCAACACTAGAGAAAGACTAGGGAGGTAAAACCAACGGATGTTGGAGGCTCTTGTCTGTTTGCGACCCTTTGGGATGTGCCTGACCTGCGGCTTCACACGTGTCATCATCCTTCGTATATACAACATGCACCACTATGACAGCTTGGGTTTTTCTTTTCCACGCAGCCGATAGCCCTGGGCTTGGGTGCTGAGAACGTCAGCTTTCGTGCCTTTCGGTTCCGGATAGCCTTTTCGGGTTGCAAGGTTGGGGTTCAAGGCAGCCGGGTGATCATTAGAAAGGACCCCACAGACCCTAAGCCCTGATCTAACTGAGGTGGCAGAATTTTGAGAACTTGCCCGCCTATGAAGGTGGCGAAGTACACCGAAGTCCACTCGAGCTCATACTCCAATGTGGAAAACAGCTCGCGCAAGAGCGTAAACCTTTGTAAAGGGCTCAACCGAGAGGTTTCTCATAAGCATGGGCCCGTTCTGGGATGTCTGTTTCTTGGGCAGCCCCGTTTTCTGATACTCATCATTCTGCTCAAGAGCTTGCATTCATCATTGGGTTCACTAAGAACTATATATAAGCTTTCCCCGACGTACCCCAACAACACTTTTCCCAATCTTTCCTTGCATTGTCGCAATGCATTCCTTTGTGTCAGGTGCTCCCATGACCATGGCTGGATAAGGGAACCCTTTATTTGGATGATTTCCCGCAGTTCCCAACAAACCGAGCGGGCACGGTTTGCGGACAACGGACAGCACACCTTCACAGCTGAAAGGGCGGAAGAATAGGTTCGGCAAATCATTCTTATGCAAGGGGACGACAACCCCGAATGCAGCTTTTCGTAAGGGTTCCAAACCCCATCCGCGAACGACAGAGATGAATTGTGTCCAGAAGGTGAGTGACCTCTCCCCGTGCCCCGTCTTGTCCAAAGGAACTGCGAGACCCCCTTTCCGCAACAATCGCCAGCCCCCCTTTTGGAAGACTGGCTTGTCGTAAGTGAAAAGCGCGCATGGAAACGGAAATCTTCAGAAGCTGATTCAGGAACATGTAGCGCAAACACGGCAGGAGTGGGGGAGGGTCTGGAAGTCATGTGGTCAAAAGTCGTGGTCACGTGGGTGGTGAAACTGTTCAGCCTCTGAGGGATGTGACTTCAGGCAGGACATTGATCTTCTGGGGAAATTGCTATCTCTCCTCTGCACGAGTAACCTGTCAGACATCTTGAGGAGTCGCAGCAGTCGCAAGTTTCGCAGTAGGCGAAGGAGAGTCAGCGCGTTGACAGCATCATCTTCGACAAGAAACCTTGGTTCCCAGCTTATTCCCGAAACCCGAAATAGTAGCTTCCATTTTCTTTTCCATCATCCTATATAACCCGAAAGTATTTTGGTGGTTTTCCATTTTCTTTTCCATTATCCCTAAACCCGCGAAGCTTCGGAAAGGAGGCATAAAGCCACATCAATAGACGTTCGTATTATAACAGGAACGTCACTCTAAGGACCGGTGTTTGAATGAATTTAGGGGAATTCGTACATGCCCGAGAGTTCATAATGGCTCGCGACTTGGCATTTGCTTACATTGGACCTATGTAATTTCCAATATCATTGTGAGGTCTTTGGAGGTACCGTATACCATAATACGTATAGAAGGGCTCTAGGACAAAAATATATAGGTAATATTTGGGAGTCAATGTGGCTTCAAACTTAGGCCAAGGGCAGGGAGGCAGCGTCGAGGAGGACCATGCTGAGATCTGCCATGAACCTGAGAATGCTTCAACTTTACTATTCCCCGGATGTCCTTCACATTTAGGGGAGGGGGGGGGGGTCTGTCCACAAACCTTAACAAATTTATAGGGCATATCCTACAGGAGGTAGGTGGCCCAAGGCCTAGGTAGGGCTTGTGCAAGGAATGAAGGAATGGACAAGAAAAGGGAAATTCCTCCATCATTATTGGGGCTTCAGGGATGGACCAGAAAACGGAAACTACTGCGGGGTTTATGCTTTTTGGGTTTGGGGTTTAGGGATCACGTATGAGCTTTGTAGGGAAAATTGTGAGAATCCTGCATAGAAGGTAAAAGGGCTCATCGCTCGGAAATGCGAATAATCTATGTTGACACTTACCCTAAACCCTAAACCCTAAACCCTACACCCTACTTACCAGGAGCCCTTAGGTTCACATCCACGCTCTAAGCGTGGGAGAACTTAGCCCCTCAGGGATCGTGTGGGCTGCATCATGAGCTCCACATCAGCCAGAACTCTCGGGATGACATGGGACAGAAGACCTAATCCAAAGATCTGAATAGTCATGAACCGACTTGAATAGCTATCTTTAAGGGTCCAGATACCTAATAATAATATACTTACCCCGAACCTCGACTATAATTACCCAATTACTATTACCCAAAACCCAAGTGCCTAATTATTGGGTACTCGGACCCTCTGGGTATGAATAGTTGTGAATAATTACGAGGCCCTGCTTGACTGCTTTGATCTTGGGAAGATCAGTTATACCCTATACTTGCCCAAAATCTGCACTACAGTTATTAGTACCCAAAATGCAAATACTTTGTTATGTGTTTCTGGACCCTTAAGGAAAGGATCATACGATAAAATCTCAGGAGCCAGTGCTTGAGGTAGTGGCAAGCAATTCCCCGAAGCCTCATCTCCACAAAGCCTGGCAAAGAGACTTGGCAGCTCATGGTTTAGGGTTCATAGGGTTTATAGGGTTTTGGGTTTTCTGGAAGAGAGACTTAGCGGCTAATGGTTTAGGGCTTATAAATTTATGAAGGGTTGAAGGGTTCAAATATTTGGGGTTTAGCGTGCAAAGTTGAGGGGTTTGCGTTTACAAAAGGGTTTAAGGCTTGGGCCATGACCCGCTATGATAGCCAATATGCTCATTAGCTTAGGATGCAGGCTATCATGGGTACGTAGGAGGTGTAGGGCTTAGGGTGTGGGCTTTGGCCGAACCATAGGAAGTAGAAGGAAACATTGGGATTGTGCAGGGGGTGGAAATGATCACTTGGAGGCTGTTGGATTCCAGTCAGGCTTCTATGGGAACATCATGGTTATTTGGGATTGTCTGATAAGTGCTCCTAATCATAGGCAAGTAACAAAGGGCAAATACCACAAGGTGTGGAAAGAGAAGTCGCCATATTCTCGCTTGTTGATTTGGAGGGTTCCATGAATGCGGGGCCACATTACAGACCTCGACCGCCTATTAGTCCTTCTATAAGGACTCCCGAGAAGGAGGGGTGCTTGGAAACCCCCACGTGCGGCCTTCACAATTCACCCTCTCACACATCGGCTCACTCCTCTCATTACCCGAGATAGTAGTCACCTTTTGTGCTTCTCTGCTCAAGGATTTAAGGAAGCCTTCATGGGTCCCATTTATGGGGGCTATATGAGCAATACCATAATCTAAACTCCTAGTGTCTCCCTTAAGAAACCCTATACAGTCCCCTATAGAATCCCCTATGTGGACTTCAGGCTTTAGCTCATGTTAAGAGACAGTATGGGACCTTGGGGAGTCTCAGGGAGGCCAGCCATTATTGGGAGGTACCCCTTATACAAGGCCCTCAGGGTTAAGGGCTTAGGGATTCCTAAAGGGATGGGGGTGGTCTTTCCAGGATCCCTCGGCCCTGAACCGTCTGGTTCCAGGTTCAGGCTGTGATGTGGTGGTGTATTTCAGCCTCGCGCCGTCCTACTTTGAAAGGAGATGCTAGGCAATAAGTTGCAGGATGCAGAACCCTAACAGCAAACACGCTGACCTAGATCCCAAAGCTTTCTGCAATCCTACGGTCCCAGGGAAAAGATGGGGAGCAAGTTTGCCGGGCCTGTCCGCACATCAAGAAACCCGCGGAAAAAGGACACGACCATGTCCAGAACCCAGATGGTGCTGCTAACCACCCTGGGCTGGAAGTCGGGATGTGGCTCTCAATTCCTTCTTGGGTGGTAACATACGAAAAACTGAAAGCCAACTTCAAGATTGACCCAGATTTATAAAGATGATTCTCAAAGGCTGGCTACGGATTCAGGATCTAGGGTTGAGGTATTGGGGGGTATATAGGGTCCATAGTTGTGTCCTTGACTAGAGTTTGGAGTACGCTTGGGAGCTACCAAACATCTTCACCTGAATCTTGGTTATTCGTGAAGTCGTGGGGGGAGTGGCCCCTCGGAGGTCCCGGGGATGGGCCCCCGAAGGGCTTAAACGAATTTTCGAAGATTCAGCTGGTCGAATGAGCTACTGCTGGACAACTGGCACCCCTCAATCAAATCCAACTCCAAACTCTTCCTTGCAATCCCAATGCCTGAAGTACCCTAAACCCTAAAACCTAAACCCTGTCTGTACTTAAGATGCGCCAAAGTATGTGAGCAGGATGGTAACCATCCTGGTCGACATAGCTTGAAGCTCTGGCATACTACAATATCTCTCAAAGGGTCCGAGGTTCAGAGTTTTGGGGGATTTGGGGGGGTTTGCGAATTGGGGTTTAGGGATTTTTGGTTTTGGACCGAGGTTTTGTGGCCCTAAACCCCAAACCCTAAAGGGGCTCAGGGTAACACAGCCTGGCAACTCAAGGTGTCGAGGAAGTCCCACGCGGCTAACAGGAAACGCAGAAATCCTGTGCAGGAGCCATACCCTCAAGGGCCCAAGTATCCCATACTTGACTTTTTGGGGTTTGGGTAGTAATAATTGCATTTGGGGGAAGTATAGGATCACTGGGTGCATGGGCCCTGAGGAATAATGTGCGGATTTGAACCCCTTGTTCTTGGATGATAGGTCAAATCAACGAACAGTTCTCTCGGTGTTGAAGTCTTGGGACGTGCGATGACATCGTCATTATTTTTTGAGGGTGCTTCGGCTTGCAACTCAAAAGCAGTCAGCTGCGTACGCAATGCATGTACAGCGCAACAACACCAATGCCTCAAACATGACGCAAGCTGTCACCCCCCAACACCTTGAAACTTGACCCCCTGCCTGAGCCGGAGGGAGCCCAACCATTGAGGATTTTGGATTTAGAAAAACAGAGCATCGTCTTGAAAAGTTGGCGACTGCTCGCGGATCGTGAGCTTACAGCGCGCTCAGCTGCAGAAACGTGGCGTCAAGTTGGTCATGACCCTTGATTTTGGTTTCCTTCCTTCGGACAAGACTTGGCAACAACAAGCCTGTGCCTGAAACCCAAGCATGAAGCCGCTTCACATAATGTTGGCCGACCTTCATTATTGAGGCCCCCTGTAATGTGTTTTGGGGGCAAAAGGGTCCAACATTTGGTAGGGCTTGTAAACGTGGAAGCGATGCAATAATGATTATGGCTGAACACCATGGCAGCAAAATCCAAGCAGCGTAGGTAATCTCCAAAAAGTGAAGCCAAGGAACACTGGGATCATCAGCGCATCATGGATGATGGCTATAGTGCCTAGGTCACACCAACTTGTTGGGCTGCAGCTTCAACGCACGAGGGTTTAGGGTTGAGGGTTTAGGGTTTCGGGTTTAAGGGTTCAGGGTTTAGGGTACAACAGAGGTCTTGGTATGCCAACAACCTGAAAATCTCCATGTCCTGAACACACAATACTCCAGCCTTGCATGCTGATGCTTTCCTGATTCCTTGCACCCTAGAAGGACGCAGTTCCAGAGGCTGAGGAACCCTACGACTAAAGAACTTCCAGGTAAGTCTGAAACC